ATTATTACTTAAATGTAGCATGGTGTTATGAGGCTTCGAACAAGTAAAACAATTCTTACTATTACACTTTTTCGGGGCGTGCTGTCGTAAACACAATTTACATAATTTCATTTCGGCTACTTTTTTTATTCTTTCTGTAACCGGTAACGCGATAAATATCGGACATTTATAAATGGTATGTGGCGCTTGACAAATATAACAACCTTTATTATTTCCTATAACTAGTGACGACGACCTTTCATTAAATTGTTTATTATGATTATTAAATTTGTACGCACCCTGTCGATTATTTATATTTTTGCATCACCCTGATTGCTTCAATATTTTTAAATCGCAGTTTCTAAAATTCAATTATTACTCGACCGGTGCTACTTTCTCAGGTGCATTTGTCTCCTCACCGGCTTGGCTTATTTTTATTTAATTTGTTACAATTAAATGCACTAGTAAAGGTCCCCAATTGCTAGGCATGTGACCTAGTGTTTCCAGTGCGCTCATATGACTGGTTAATGCATCCGTAAACTGTCGCAATCTTGCCGACGATTCAGATGTGACTGGTTCTAATTCAAACATTGACTTTACATGTGTTTGTACCAGCACTTTTTTATTACTATATCTTTTATTTAATTTATTCCATGCTATTTCATAATTATTTGATGTAGTCTCTACACATCGAATACAATTCTGCGCGTCCCCTGTGACCGCGGAACGTAAATAAAAAAACTTTTCAACTGGAGATAAATCCGCGTTATTATGAATTAACGATGTAAATATATCGTGGAATGTTGCCCACTCGTTATATTCGCCCGAAAACGTTGGCACATTCAACGCCGATAATCTTATCGGTGGACGCGATATTTGTCGACCATTATTTTTACTATCGCTTATCATTTCTATTGACCGGTCATTCCGTTCGCACGTTCTATCTTCATCAATACCATGATATGGTTGCGCTTCTTTTTTATTGACCACTGGTTCTGTCAATTTTTTGGCTATTCCGACTGCATTAAAAAACATATCTTCAAACTCTTCTCGATATTTATCTTGTTCGTTCATCTCTACGCCCTCCGTCTCTTCTATTGCAGATTGGATTCGCTCGTATTCGCTCCAGATTCCTTCTATTTTCTCTTTTCTTACGTGTACCTCATTTACGTCTACGTTCTCTTTCGTTACAAAATTTAAAAATCTTGTTACGGACGCCTTCAGCTGCCCACGGAACTTAATCAAACTTGATATTTCGCTCATTATTACAATTCTATTTTATTCGTATAATATTTCTTATTTTATACGATAATAAAAACTTTTATAATATCGACGTAACGCAATCGCCCACCGTAAATTTAATTGTCGACTATCACTTATCTTATCTCTCTCTTGCCAAATACGCACTAATTGGTTTACGATGTAGAGAATATACGTTCACTATTTTCTGTCGCAAATAAAATACTGATAGGGACGTGCTAATCGATTATATTGTCGCCTATACTCTCACCCCGGGTAAAGCCCAGATATAAGGAATTTTTACCACGATATAAAAAAAATTTCAAGTATTTAAGTATTAAGGAAATTGGAGATCTCTTACCTCTTTTTTGAATTGACGACGGTGCACGCTCCTTGCCCCAATCAGCCAACATCCAACTCCAATGCACTAATAACTCTCTTTGTTATTAAATCGTTTATTAACTTATTGAGTTCGCGTACACGTGGTTTCGCACTATTTAAACCTTTTTACTCTAAATTAATCTAAATTACTCGCTATCCGTCGTCGAAGGACCATGTTGTGGACTGTAACGCTTTTTTTATTTTTTTGGTTCTCGGATAGGAGTAATTAGGATTAAATAATAGTAGTGAATGCACTTTACTTACACTAAAAATCTCGCTTTATTGAAATTTGGCGAGACGGTGCCGATTACATTGATTGTACGCGACTGACTCAAAGTCACACAATATAATTTTAGTCCGTGATAATAATAATAATAATAATAATAATGTTATCGGGATCGGGCCACATTTCGCCTTTATCAAGACCGAACGAAACCGACACAAATACAAAATAATAATATAAAATAATATCATGCGTCAACAATTATTATTATTATTATCACCACGACGAAAGTGATTGTGATATCTGTTAGTCTAAATCATTGTATAAACTGTCAACACTTCGTCGTTGGTGATACGTTAATTTGTACATTTTAATATTATATTTGTGTAATCCATACTTTAAATACGACTCGAATGTTTATATTTTGTATGGTCACCTCTCTTTAAGCAATTCTCCACGTTTATTCCAAGTTCATCTTTCGGTGGTGTAGTCATCGAGGCCGACCACATATTTGTAGGAGCCTCGTGGCTAAACAATCATACTTACAATTCTTTCTACGATACTTGTTAGGATCATGTTCCTTGATCAAACACCAATCGTCGACTGTCAAATTAATATACTGATACCAATACTGTATATAGAAGAACAATTATAAAACCATTTTATATTGTCCAAATATTATGCGGTTAACGTTATTTGGTGTCAAGGAATCATCTCTATAAATGGTAATGATTTGAAAGTTTATTAAAACAATAAAATGTAATAAGGTAGAATGTATTGAATTTTTCTATGTTAAGATGTACTTACTTCTTTGTTATTAAAATATAAAAAACAAAAAAAAAACATTAATTACATTTTTTTTTTAACTATCTACTACAAATTACTATATTATAAATAAAATTGTATTTGTTATAGTTGATATTGGTGTAAAATGATTTCCTAAATTAAGAATTTTAAAAATATTTCACATTATCGGCAGAAAGCAATCACAATAAATAAGTATATGTTATGTTTATATTCTATTTTATAAACCCAGAAAAAGAAAATTTAAGAAAAATTGTAAAATTAAGTACTAAATACTCTAATAAAATAATAATACTAATATAAATAAAAAAATAATAATAATAATATATATACTAATAATAATAATTTAATACTCTAATAAAATACTTAGAGTAGCGGGTCATCATGTATGCTTGATGGTGACATCGGTAAAACCATTTCGCCATTCTGCGACTAAAATAAAAAATGGTATTAAATATTTTTGAACATTTAATAATATATTAAATTTATGAATTACCTCGTGTGTCGCCCGATTTAGCAAAGATTCTGCTAGTTGTTTAGCTGCGAACATTTGAATTTGACCGGTTAAGAGGGCGTCACAGTAAAAGTGAAACGTATACAACGCTCAAGAGATGGCGTTGAATTTCATATCGCCGCCGTCGCGGTAGGCCGTAACCACGCCTATCGTGTACGCGACGGGGTCCGCGTGTTGTTATTGCGGGAGAGGTATATTATTATTTCACAGACTGTCGTTTAGAACGTTTCGCGTCAAACGTCATTACAGGCCATTACGTAAATTGTCGCCCGTGAATTCTATACGGTGCGCTGACTCGCTACTAGCTCGCAAGTCGCAAACCTATTTTTTAATTAAAGCTCCTGTTTGCTTAAAAAAATTAACCAATAAATTAAGCATACAAATTATTATATACCAGAACTCGATTTATATTTCTAACCCAATTACTTTTTAAAATACATGTAAAATAATAATTTCATTACGATTAAATAGATTTTTTAGTAAAAGTGTTACGTATTTTACGTTGTAACTTATAAATGACATGAAGCAATTTTTGTTCGATAATTTAATTTTTTATTTATTAATAACATTTTAAATAGTTCTGATTAGTAAATATTGATGTATTTACTTATTTTAATTTTAAACATAATACCTACATAAAATATGAAGTTGATTGTTGTACATAATATTTATTAAATAAATACCTACTGTAAAAATATAATTATTTATATTATTGCAATTGCAGTACCTATATGTCAAAAAAACAATATGTATAAACCATGAACTAAGATATATCTTAGTTCATGGATCCTACCAATACTGAGGTACAAACTATGTTTTCAGATGAAACTCCATTTAAATTTATTTAAAACTTCAATACCAGTAGAATCTGTTGATTATCGGTATTTAGAATTGCCTGAACAAAATGTATTGACTTATATCTGTGGCTATTTAATTAAAAAATGTTTGGAAACACTTGTGACATTTGTATAAATTATGCAAAATTTCAAAAAAATGTAGAACCATCCTTTTTATTTTCTTATTTTAAAGCCTATGAAAATTCTGAAAAATCCACTTTTTAAAACTTAATGATGCCTCATTCAGAATTTTATAACTATAATAACAGTTTAGAAACAATATTTATAAATCGTTTCCCTATAGCAGTAAAAAATAAAGTAGGTGAAAAATTAAAACTAATCATGCAATCAGTTTATTATTCTCACCCATGTGAAGGTTTAATAAAGACTATCTACTAAATTTATTTATAAGATTCAGAATTTTTTCATCAGTTAAATTTTTAAATAAAGAGTTGGTATCTGAAAAATTTTAAAAAAATAGAAAATTAACAACATTAAAACATTTGTAATTATTAATTATCATTATATTTTGTTTCTATGTATCAATGTGGTTTACGCGGTTTGGAGTGACTGAACATATTTTTTTCCAAATGTGCGTTTTTCATGTTTAATTTGATGATACTTTCAAAAAAGTCGATCAAACTTTTGGAAGTATTTTGACCATATCGTACATATCGTATAGTATAAAATGATTAAAATAGACATTTCAATGAATATTCATTTACATTGGTGCTATAACAAAAAGTTTACAATAATTATTGTATAAGTGGTACCAGTGCAGCGTGTCTTTTTGCGCGGCGCAGCAAATTGTTTATACCAACAGTGACACCAATATGAAATAATTATATACATAGATTCACACGGTATACTGTTATAAGATTCATCCGGATAACTATATAGACTCACCCGGTTCAATAAATATATATATATTTATATGTATATATAAAGTGCGTGTGTCACGCACGCCATCATCGTATCTTCAAGTTTTCTCTCATCATTTCTATGTTTTCTCCGGTTTTTGTGCCGCCCTGTATATTGGTTTACCTTTTTATGTTGTTCTACAGGCTACACTGTATTCTATGTTTTCAAGCTTAATGTTCAACGACCATTTCGTCGTTCTTCTGTTCTTTTTCTGTCTCTTGCCGAGCAACTTCTTTTCTAGTGTTTCTACTGTTTCTTTTCTCTATCGTTTTTGCACGTTGTTTGGCAGCCGCTGTAACCACATTTTGTTTTGTCAAGTGTTGGTCCTGCTATTCAAGTAGGTATCGTTCGCACAATTCTTATTGCCTTGTATTTATATAGTTTCCTCAATTTTAGGTCTTCATTCTCAATAGCTGGTTCACTGTTCATATCGTGTTTTTCTGTTGTTTGTTCTAATCCATGTAGCGGCGGACATTTTGTTTGTTGGCCTTTCTTCGTTGTGATATATCTTAGTGGTCGTACGTGTGCGGGTTGTTTTATTCATATTATCTGTTATACGCCCCCGGCACGGTCACGTGGGATGAAATCCACCACTAAGTATATCACGTGTGTGAGTATTGTGACCATAATTGTTTTTGTATGGCCAACGGGCCTCTATATGTATATTTATTTTAAATTAACTATCTGTAGCATCATTATATATTATTATTACATATTTTTATACATTGTTACATATTATTTTATATTTTTAGTTAGCAGTGTAGTATTTTGGGTGGCCTGCCTTCCCGCCGTAAAGGCATCTGAATATACTTAATTATTAGAGCCGAGTGTGGTGACAAAGGTGATGATTAAATATTATAAACCAGAGAGTAAGGATCGTGGACAAGAGCAAAGATCAAGAAAGTGCTAGGCACTAAAAGATATGAATGCATTTCGAAGGATGACAAAACTTACATTAGGCATGTTGATCAAATAATAAATGCAATAATAAAAGGAATAGAAACACAATCACACGAGAGCGTAAGCAGTGCAGTTAGTGTTACAGATATAACTAGATAACAAGGAAAAGAGAACAAAAAAAGTTCCTAGTAAATTACAATTAATTTTTATTCGTTAATTATACCCGTATAAAATATATTTTCTTTTTCTGTAGATTATAATGTAAACTGTAAAGTGTATATATATATATATATATATGTGTGTGTAATTTCAATACGTATGTATAAATATTTAATTATAATTATTATAATTATTTTTTTTTGATTTTGATGTACACATATAGTTTAGTTTTAACGGGGAGGTGAGATATTTGTGTAAAAATATATTGTATATAGTGTTTTGTTATCGCTTATCAATATTGGTATCTATCACACCGGCTCTGGTAAATTTATATTTATAAATGTTCATTATGTATTTTATGTATCTGACAGTGTTCGTTGCGAAGTTGTGTCACAAACTACTATGTCATCTTATTATGCAATAAACAGATTTTATTAATTTGTATTAAGAATCATTATTCTATATGAATATCACAAATATTATGCTATTATTAACAATTAACATTTTAACTTTCTTATAACATTGTTGTAAATACATTTATGATAATAGTGTTTTTATTTGAATTACAGTAGAGACAACAGTCAACGGCCCGCCTGAAACCAAAGGTAATACAACTGTTTTTTTTTTTACATTTTACTTTTATTGTGTGAATTTCTGCCCTATCGTCAACATATTGCTCACATAAATCGTACATACCGCTTGTCAATTTCAATAATTTAACTATAAACATTTTTTTTAAATACATTATGACAATAGTTTTTACTTTAATTACAGTAAAAACTATGGCAGAGGACCCGCCAGTGACGATTGATGATGTGAGTACCGCTGATACAGAAGCGTCTAACAGCTCTGATAATGAAGCTGAAGATAATCCTGACGATCCTGTTAGTGTAGATCACAGATATATACTAATACAAAGTATATATCTGTGGTGTAGATACATCTGATGATGATTTAGCCTCAATCCAATCTATTGATAGCGGTGAAGATAATGTTGCTTTAAAATATCATTGTAACAAATGTGACAAAAAGTTTAAATTTAATTGTTGGTTCAAAAGACACATGGCCACCCATAATCCTGCGCTTTTTGTATGTGAATATTGTCCAAAAGTATACAAACGTAAAGACATACTGCGAGAACATCAATACTCGCATTTTGGTGGGCCAAAATATAAGTGTAAAAATTGTAAAAAAGTGTTTGGAGATAAAAGAAATTTGAATGCTCATACAAAATTGGTACATAAAGATTCTCAGATACCAATGTAAATGAATATTCATTGAAATGTCTATTTACTCTATTTTAATCATTTTATACTATACGATATGTATGATATATTTTTATTAATATTTGCTTATTTAACTTTTCAATTTACTTATAATATATTTATACTTACATTAATATGAATTGTATTTATTTATTAACATTAATGGGTAAGTCCATTTTACAAGATTATAACAACTATTGTAACTGTTTGAACGCAGATCGGTTTTCCCGTTGCCGCCGATGAGCTTGACTTGGGATGCCACAAATGTGGCGGATATCAAGGCTATCGGCAAGCTCTCACTCCGTCTGATGTCAGGTCTGTTACACCAAAAAGATTTTATCATGGACTTCCCCAAGGTGTGACAAGACATGGGACTTGCCCCCCTAGAATTTTGTTTTGCCTCGTTTTTTTTTTCAATAAAAAATAATGGTCAATAATGATATCAACAGCACTAACCATACAATACAATAAATGTAAAACAGTCAACATTAATAAATGTTTATCTTAAAAAATATTAATTATTTGTACAAATGGCATCATTGTAGTGTGTCTCTGCGCTGCAAAAACCGATACATAGAAGGACGGGTAACGCCTCCTCTATAATATTATTACTCTATGCGGATGGGTACACATCGACACCTCCAACGAAAAGGGTCGTAACTCCATTTTTAACGTTTTTGAGTTACGACTGCATTCTGATAAAGTATTTTTTTCTAACTAATATTTTATTGAATCTCCTCAAATTACGGTTTCCGACGAATAAAGTCGTATCTTGAGTTACGACCTTTTTGAAATATTATTTACCGCCGAAGGAGGTCGTATGTTTAGATAAGAATCTAAAATTAAACCAATGTCTCCGACTATATTATTAATAATTTATATAAAATGATAATAATGACAATTACAATAATTATTATTGTTAATCATTTTAATATTATAATGTTTATTATTTTTATAAAAGTGTGGTTATGTTGATAACTTGAAAAAAAACGACATCCATAATAATTTTGTATTTCTTGAATTTGATTGTTAGCAAGATTTTAATTATAATAATCTGTTAATTATAAGAAAATATAAAATATTGACTGTATTAGTACAACAATGGATCAATTTCCGAAAGTAAGTATACTATTATTAATTTAAATATTACAGTCTATCTATATCTGTTTTTAATGTTTTATTATGCTATTCAAATGAAGAATTTATACTATTATTGACACCTTTTATAGGATAACATCTTGAGTGATACTTCTAGCACTTGTAGTATTTTAGATACATATAAGTTTGGATGTATAAGTTCATGTGAATCTAATGCATCTGAGAATGAGGGTGAAAACAACGACATTTTTAAAAATATTACCATTGAAGACAATGACAAATCAACATCAAAAAGTGATTTAGACGTAAGTAAAATGTTGCAATAAAAATTTTTTTTACCCTTTAAAAAGATACAATAAATTGTTTATAAATATATATAAGAAATGATTGAGAATATAATATTATATGAGAATTTGAGTGATAATTAATAATTAGTTTTGTATAATTGTTGTTGTACCTATTTTTATTAAATACCTACATGATATTCCTTTTTAAATAATAATATACTTTTATATTATTAAATACTTAAATTGATAATTTAAATTATTTCAAGTATTATAATTCTACAGAATTTAATATTTTGAATTATTTATTTAAAGAAAAACAATGAGTAGATACTTTTTAATATATTTGCATGTTTTTTTAACTTTAGAAATTATTGGTATGTGAAGGAGTTATCGACAGTGATAACAGTTTTAATGGCTATGACAGTGACAGAGATCCTGAGTATAATGCATCTGAGGGTCAACCATATGCCAGTTATTTTGATCCTGTAGATATTGATGAATCAAACTCAAGTCATGTAAGTAAAATATTGTAATTCAATTGTTTACCATTGTACCTTGTTATTAGGTACCTAGATATCTAATAATATAATAATATAATATTATAATTATTTATAATACTATAACTTTTGAATTCATTTTTGACATTTACTTATTGAAGAAAGGTTTTAGAAAAAATAGTCTGAAGCTTAAAAATAAATTTATGTTAAAAAAAAAAATAAATATTTTGAACAATATTAATAATTGTTTACTACCTACAACTGTTTTTGATCATAACTTGCAATTAGATAACTTAATTCATACAAATTTATAATAGTTACTTAAAAATTATTTTTTAATAATTATCAAACTAATATTTCTTCAAAAAAATATTAATTTTAATAATGATAATGTTTTTTTTTACATGTACAAATATCATTTTATATTATAATATTATTATGATAATTATTTATATTATAATTTTCAAGCACTTTCCTCAATATTCTTACCTACACAATTACTTCTTACAGGGGCTTAACTTAAATAGTACAAATAGAAAAAAAAGAAAAATCACACCAAAGGAGAAACTAACAAGAAAAAAAATTAGGAATGAGAATGAATGGATAGATGTAAAGGCAAAAAAACATTTAAACTACAGTGAAGAGTATGTTAACAGATCAAGGATCCTTAAGAAGAAAAAAGTTATGGGACCAGCATGTAAAAAATTTAGATTAAAATGTATGGATAAACTTAGCGAAGAAATCCGGAAGAATATGTTCAGTGAATATTGGCAGTTAGGAGACCATACCAGACAGTGGGATTTTATAGCTAGATGGGTAAAAATTACTGAAAAAAA